TAATTGTAAGAATTACCATCATGAGAGGCACGGGTGTTACAGAAGTGCACAGGAGATGCACCTAACCCAGACTTGTGTGGTGAAGGAAAGATTTTCTGCCCTGGCCAGTGTGGTTTAGTTGGTTGGAGCATCATCCATATGCTGAAGGTCTTGGTTGCAGGTTTGATCCTGGTTGGGGCACTTCAGGAGGGGCACTGATGAAAGTTTCTTTTCTTCTCCCCTCCCCTCCCCTCCCCTCCTCTTCTCTTCTCCTCTCCTCTCCTCTCCTCTCCTCTCCTCTCCTCTTCTCTCTCTCTCTCTCTCTTTCTCTCTCTCTCTCTCTCTCTTCCTCTCTAAAAATCCTTAGGTGAAGATTTTTTTTTAAGCCTTTCAGAAGAGTTTATTCATCCTCTGAAACTTCTTAATATCAGCAAACTCTTACATCTTAAACTTTTTAAAACACTCTCCCAACTCCTGTGTTAACTAAAACCAGCAATCCTATAAGGATGGTGCAGAAAGGGGTGGCTTCTGATCCCCTCACAACCCATGTACATAGATTTGGCGTCCTCTGCACTCACTGATGCTGTTTCTTTACTCCCAATAGATCCCTGCTCCTTGATATTCAGATGTCCACTCTTCCCTTTCTCTATGCTGATAACTCCAACCCTTCTGAAACTTACTTATTACTCATGTTAGACTTTGTCAACTACCTCATAGTTGTCTTCTCCATGTTCAGCTGAGATCTCATAGCCCATTATTTCATCCTTATGCCTTTGTTTTTCCATCCCATCCTCCCAGTAAAATCTCAACTTTTGATGAACGGAACCATCAGCATTCTCCATGCTTGCATCCAACCGTCTGAGCTGTGTTGGAGAAACTGCTACCAATAGAAATTCTTGATTTATAACTCTTCAGTGGGTCCTTAACACTTTCCTAATTGCCTACATATCTTACTACATTCCCCTGGTCTCCACTTTCCCTTTCCCATTATATACAGTGTTTCAAACTATCTTGACTCCTAAAATTTCAATACCACTCATACACACAGAGACACACCCCCAACTCAGTGTAACCAGATATCCAACTTCATCGAGAAAATAGGAACTATCAGACTGCAGTTCTGTCTTACCAAATCTACACACCCACTGTCTTAATGAAGATACAGATCAAGTTGCTATGACACAAGAGAAGAAAATTATGTGGCCTTAAAATTGTAGTTTCTTTTTCATATGGAAAAACAAGGGGTGGTAAAATGTCTAGAGAGTACTGGAGACCCACGCTCCTTCCATCTTTTCACTCTGCCACCCTTAATGTGTTACCCGCACTGCATGACTAAAGAAAAGTGGCTTAATGCCACATCCTCATTCAACCTGACGAAAAGAACAATTAGGAAGAAAAAGTCTACTACTCCTCTCCTTTAAAAACTTGATCTAGGAGCTGAATGTAGTACTTCCATACACAGCCACTGTTCAGGACATAGCCATAAAGCCACACTTATCTGCCAAAAAGTCTAGAAAATATACTTATTATCTGGTTGTCCATGACTTATTTTCATCTATAATTATTCTCTTCTACTAACTTCCTTTTACAACTGAATCTCTACTCCTGTCAAAATCTAGAACCCTCCATATGTGCCCTGGATTCCATACCTCCCTGCCTTCTCAGGAAATTTGCATTAGTAATTAACTTCTCTTACAACCTCACTACAATGGTACTTTTTCCAAGGTTGTAATTAAAAGTGCTTTTCTCTCTTCATTGTCTTGGCCCAGAAACAGCATTTGAAACAGTTCAGCATTTTCTCCTCTCCCTTTTATAATGCCTTGCTCCCCTTGATTTCCTCCCACCCCTCTGTCTGCTCCTCTTAGTCTCTTTTGCAGGCTGGTCTTTCTCTATCCAGCCGTTAAATAATGGCCTTTTCCTGACTTCTGATCTGGTTCCTGGTTTCTTCAACACACTCCCATTAATTCTATGGTTTGCATTACTTCCTATGTAACCTGTACATTCAGCTTCCTACTGGAATTCCTACTTCAGTGTCAAATAGACACCTGAAATTTAGCATGTCCATAATGGGACAGACTTCCTAGTGGGAGTTGCTGTTTTCTCTATGAAATAGGAGGCTACCTTACTTATTGTAAGAGAAGGATTCATGTGATTTGGCTAGGTCTAGTTGGATAATCTCTCTATCTTGAGGTCAACCGACTAATAACATTAATGACACCTACAAAATCCATTTTGCTATATAATATAATCATGGGACTAGTATCTTATCATATTCACAGGTTCCATCCACGCTCAAGGGAAGGAGAGTATACAAGAGTGAGAGTCATTGAGGGCCATGCTTATAATTCTGCCTATCACAGAAGGGAAGCCAGGAAAACACCCCCTGAGAAATACTGAGAGCTTGAGCTAAGATCAGGAGGATGAGTGTGAGTTAATCAGATAAGGAAGGAAAGCTTGTACAAAAAAAAATGTACCTAGAGAACCATATATATTTTTTTAAATGGACTAAAGAAAAGCCATTGTGTCTACAGTAGGCAGAACAAGAAGCACAGTGGCTTGGAATTAACTTCTTCTTACAACCTCAACTGTTAGCTTCTTCAGGTGGTTTGGGAGGTGGTTTGGGAAGTCAGTAGGAGCCAAGGCATGCAGGCTTCACAGATTCTGTTATAAGATTTTTCTCTACCCCAAAAGTAGTTATCAGAAGAGTGGCATGATCAGATCTGCATTCTGAACATATCCCATTGGCTATAAGGTGGAGGATGGATGGAAGGGGGCATCAGTAAAATGTGGTGGATTCCTTAGGGAGCTAGGAAGAGTAGAGCGAGGGACAGAGGGGTGATGTCAATGGGGATACAAGCAGACTGATACCAGATACACTCAGTAGCTAAAACCAACAAGGCTTCATGAATGATTAAATATGGGAGCGAGGCAGTTATACTCCCAGGAAGTGTTCTCTAAGACAGAGATTACTGTGGAGGATGTTTGTGCTCTCAGAGGCAACACCTGTGCAAGAGAGAGGATGAAAGAAGGATTGGGCAGGATGAGCAGTAATTTGGTCCCAACGAAGGCCTCAGCCAACCCCTGAAAAAGCTGCAAATGTGTTTCAGAGTTGTCCTCTGTTGGGGTGAAGGGCTGAAGTGTTTTGCTTCTTTATTCATCAGTCATCGGTGTAAGATGTCCCCGAAAGGGAGCATGACCTTCCATGAGTAGGCTTTCTTCAACTAAGGCAATTCCTGAAGAAGCTAACAGTTGAGGGCTGTCTTCCAACAGCCCTCTCAGCAGCTGGAGGAAAAAAAAAAAATCCTTCGTTTCTGAAGAGTTCTCTGGGCTTTTCATCACAGCCTCTACCACAGGGATGAAGCATAAAGGAGTAAGGCATCAGAATGATTCCTAAAGTTCTGATTTGTGCATCCTGGTGGATACTGTAGGTTGTAATCTTGATTCTAATCATTAGCTCACCTGTCATTCTTCCCCATTTCCTCCCTGCCCTGCTAGGGTGCAACCTACTCAGGCACAGACTATATGGGACAGCTTAGTTTGCAGCCTTATAACTGGCACGTATGTAGCTGAATAAGTGAATGTTAGTCTGCTTCTCCTATTTCCATTCCTCTCTTGCCTACATTTCTCTCCCCAGCACCCACACCCTACGGTCACCCAATGTGGGAAAAGTTCAGCAGGCTATCTGAGGCCCCACCTGTGCTGGAGCTGAACAAACAGCAAGCCAGGCTCTCTGGCCCAGAGCTCTCTGATGGCGAAGGCAGGCGGTACTGGGAGGAAGGTGGGGAGAGCAGGCGAGGCCATCCCCGCCCACCACAGGCTCATGTCCTGCAACGTCCAAGCCCCTTTCACCCAGCGCTGGCGGGACCAGGTCCTCTCCAAAAGCCTGGACAGGGCTCTGTGAATCCCCTTCATAGACTGCGACCTCATTCCTAACCTAATCTGCTCTTTTGGCTGAAATATTAGAGAAGGCAAGTCCTGCCCAAAGAGCTGACCCAGCCTCAGTCTCGCGTTGGCCCCCATCAGCTTTGTTGCCGCTGCATCCCAGTGATCCAGCCCCCTTCCGGCCCCTCCCGTGGGAACCTGACACGCCGCACAGGCTGCTCCACCTGCTCTGAGAGCAAACACCGACGACGTCAGGGTGTCAGGTGAGGGTGGGAGCTGCTTGGAGACCAAGGAGAAAGCCAGCCTCCTTCTCCCTCTTATGCTTGTGCAAAGCTGGACTTACAGCCTTAACCCACCATCATCCCGTCCTCTACCCTTCCTCCTACCCCCCCACCCCCACCCCAACCCCATTATCTTAGTCTCACCACTACCTCTGCCGCCCTCAGCACCCAACTTAGACTCTTCCTCTGGGCAGCCCTCTCCCTGCCAGGCTTCCCCGAATCCCACGCTGCCTCTCCCGCCCCGTCTTTGTCCGATGCTGGGGATTTCCTGCGAGCTTAGGTGGAAGCCCGTGTGCCGGGCCCGCGGTAGGCAGTGTGGAACGCGGGGTGCGGGGGCAGGTGCAGGGGCTCCCCCAGCCTGGCGGCGAAGAGCTGCAAGGAGCCAGCGGCAGTGCCCCGGCCACTGCGGCAGCTCCGCGTGGGCTGGGCATCTGCGCCCAACCCGTGACCCTTAAGGCCCCCGACCACCAGGGAAAGATGCTAGACTGGAGCCGTACCGCACCCCCTTCCTCACCCCTCTTAACCTCCCTCCCCCACAACCTTCCTCCTCAGAATTGCTCCATCCACCCATCCAACCCCACCCCACCCTACACACACACACACACACACACACACACACACACACACACACACGGGAACCGGGACCGTGGTGCAGGGGTGCAGGGGGGTGGGGAAAGGGAAACCTCTGCAGAAGATCTAGGGAGGAGGCGAGGGGCGAGGGGGCGAGGCTGAAGGACAATCCCTCAAGGGGAGTCCTGAGCGGGGAGGGGGCGGAGATCACCTGCAGGACCGAGCCTTGGGGACCGGCACCGATGCCAGGAGCTGAGGGCAGGGGCCAAGTGGGGGCGGGACGCGGTGGGCGGGGAGGGGCGGGGCGGGGCGGGCGCCTCCGCGGGCTCAGCGGGAGCAGGTGGAGCCGCCGCTGGAGCCCGCCCGGCCCTGCCGAGGGAGGCGGTGGCTGGGCCAGGGCCATGGAGCTGCTGAGGCTGAACCGGAGCATGCCAGCAGCAGCACCGGGAGCTGGGCCAGGGGCTGCCCTCTGCCGCCCCGGGGTCCCCCTCCTCAACAGCAGCGACACCGGCAACCTCAGCTGCCAGCCGCCTGCCGCCCGAGGAAACGGGACACGAGGTAGGTGCCTCCTCAAGCTCCCTCCAAAAGCTCCTCCACCCCACACATGAGGAGAGGGACCCCACTGCCCTCGCCCTGCCTCCTCCAACGCTCACACCATCCTCTCAGGGCGCACGGCCCCCCTGACACATTTGTCCCCGGCGGCTCAGGACATCCCATCCCAGCATCGCACCACCTGGCCAGAGTCCCTTCACACCCTCGTCCCACCCCGAGCTTCGGGTAAACCCAAAACACAGCACCCTCCGCGACACCCAGCCCACGGAGTGACGGAGTGCTAGACACGGAGACTGGGGAAGCAAGGACCTCCTGCTGCCATTCCTTCCAGGTCTCTCTCTCCCCTTTACATCCAACTCACAGAGCCACATGGGGAAGGAGAGAAGGGAAGATTGGGGGGAAGAAGGGGGCTGTTTGGAGGAAGGAGCACTCTGCAAGACCTGAGTGGGAAGTTAGTCATAATCTGTGTCCCCCTCCCCAACCCCCAAGCTTCCCCCAAAGAGATCCTCCAACTTGAATTGGGCTGTAAGTTAGGCTGGATGCTGCTCCCTGGAGCTGCCTGTCTCCATTTCTCTCATCCTCAAATCCCTTCCATACCTCCTCTCCAACTTGCCTCTCCTTAGGTTGCAAACTCTCCCCACCCACCTCCCCCAACCCCCTGCCACCTCCCACAGCTGGACTACCCCCTTTACCACCCCATGCCTTTGTGCCACCCCATCTCATCGCGCCAACCCCCCTTTCAGATGCTATCCATTCACCTATTCCCCAAAATAACTTTCACTCTTCCCATGAGTCAATATCCTAATTTTTTTTTTTTTATGGCCTGGATTAAGTTGTTTTTTTTTTGTTTTTGTTTTTGTTTTTGTTTTGTTTTGTTTTGTTTTGTTTGTGTGTTTTTTTCCCCCTTCCTGGGCCTTTTCTTTTCTTAAATGCTTACTGTGCACCTGCTATTGTAGTCTCTGGGCTAGGAGCTGGGGACACAGGGATGAACTAGACCTTGCTTGGACCCTCATCCCTCAGAGGGGAAGAAGGGGGCTGTTTGAAGGAAGGAGCACTCTGCAAGACCTGAGTGGGAAGTTAGTCATAATCTGTGTCCCCCTCCCCAACCCCAACCTTCCACCAAAGAGATCCTCCAACTTGAATTGGGCTGTCAGTTAGGCTGGATGCTGCTCCCTAGAGCTGCCTGTCTCCATTTCCCTCATCCTCAAATCCCTGGAAAACCATTGGGAAAATCACATTAAGCATGGGAAGTCCCACAAGAGGGTCTGAAATATCAGCGTCCAAAGGAAACAGGGTCCAAGAATTTCATAGAAGGAATCTGGAGATGGGTCTTGAAGTTGGAGTTTGTTAGGGAAAAAAAAAAAAGAAGAAGAAGTGGGATTTTAGTAGAGGAAGCAGTGGTAAACAGAAGGAAATTATTCTAAGTCCAAAAAGGGAATGTGGGAATAAATTATAATTCAAGGGTGTTTTTTTGTTTTGTTTTGTTTTGTTTTGTTTTTAACTGACAACGTAGGACACGCTTTCTCAGACAGTTGTTACACATTCTCACTTAGGTTCTTTCATTCAACAAATATTTATTGAACGAGAGATTGTGCTAGGCACCAAAACTGACAGGGTTCCTATCTCATGGAGCTCACAGTTTAGTGGGAGAGACAGACAGGTAAGCCAGGGATTGCAGCACAAAGTGGGAGGGACTTGGGGAGGCTTTGGGGAACACAGAAGAGGAGCCCCTCTAGCCTAGCCTAGACTTGGGAATCAAAGTTGGCCTCCTGAGAAGGTAGAATATGAACTGAATGAAAATAAAAAAGATGGGAGACAGCCAGCCAAGTGAACAGAGAAAAAAAGGCAAAAAGCATCTCTCGTAAAAGCCCCAAGTTTAAGTCCATGGCACTTTTGTTCAGTGCATCCTAGTTTCTGGGTGCCCAAACCATACACCATAAAAGAGGAACAATTAGCACTCAAAATGAAGACCAAGCTAAAGGGTTTACGGAGAGCCTTATAGACCTGGCTAAGGAGTGTCAATTCTATCTTAAGGCAATAGGAACTGCTGGGAATTTCGGTAGTTCTGCCAGGATTTATTCTGTAGTGTGAAGGATGACTTGTAAGACAATACATGCATAGAAGGCAGGGGGTGGGAATGGTGGATACCTATATAGAAGACTATTATATTGCACTGGTCCTGGTGAAAGGTGATATTGGTCTAGACAGAGTAAGGTATTGACAGGGGGGATGAAGAGAAGTAGATGGATTTTAGAGGCATTTCTGGAAGTGGAATCAACAAAATTTGGTGATTTGTGTGAAACAGAGAGGGAGGAAGAGGTCAAGGGATGACATCCAGGTTTCTGGCTTAGATAATTGGATGGATATTGGTACTTTATAATGAGAAGGATTACACAGGAACAGAATTGGGTTTAAAAGAGATTATAAGTTAATTCAATTTGAAGCCAGTTAAGCATAAATGCTGGCAAGATACCCAGGTAGGATTGTACAGTCAACCATTGAATCCAAGGGTCTGGAAGCTGGAGGAGAGGTCTGAGCTGGAAATACAGACTTCAAAGGTCTTTGCCAGAGAAAGTAATGGAAGCCATTTGAATAGATAAAAATTGTGTAGAATAAATAAATAAATAAATAAATAAATAAATAAATAGAGGTACTGGGCCCAGCTGGCATGGCTTGGCGGTTGAGTGTCGACCTATGGTCCTGGCGGTCATGGTTCAATTCCAGGTCAGGGCATATGCCCAGGTTGAGGGCTTGATCCCCAGTGTGGAGCATGCAGGAGGCAGTCAATCAATGGTTCCCTCTCATCATTGATGTTTCTGTCTCTCTCTCCCTCTCCCTCCCTCTCTGAAATATACATATGAAGAGGTACTGGGACAAGATCCTGAAGAAGACCAATATCTAAAAGCCAGGCAAAGAAAGGAAAGTTCATGTGAGATGGAGGTGCAGAAGACAGCAGAGATAGTGAGTAGAGCAAGGCAGCCTTAGAATCTAGCAGAACATAAAGCAATTCAGAGCACGGATGCAGAAATTGGCCTCATTTATCTGGACGCTGTTACCCACACAGTTGGATGTTACACAGGCCATCAGAAGTTACCCACAAAAACTCTATTAGCCACACTCACTCAGATATTACCCTCACAGGTGCGCGTTACTCATAACCAGTAGAAATTTGGATATTACCCACACTATTCGGATGTAACCCACACAGACTTGGGTGATACCCATGTTCACTCAGATACTACCAACAGAAAAGCAGATAGCATCCACACTCACATTAATATTGCCGCCCGCATCATTAAACACAAATGAATGAGTACTAGCTAATTTCATTTTATTATTGTCCACAGACAATTAGATATTACTGATGCTCACTTAAGTAACCCTTCTCCAGATATTGCTCTCACACATTCAGATATTACCCATAAGACTCAGACCCGATTAACTCAATCAGATTAACATCGCACTCAACATCTTTTTTTTTTTAAATATATTTTATTGATTTTACACAGAGAGGAATTGAGAGGGACAGAGAGTTAGAAACGTCAATGAGAGAGAAACACCGACCAGCTGCCTCCTGCACCCCCCCCACTGGGGATGTGCCTGCAACCAGGGTACATGCCCTTGACCGGAATCGAACCCGGGACCTTTCAGTCTGCAGGCCGACACTCTATCCACTGAGCCAAACCGGTCCCGGTGCACTCAACATCTTAACATCTCACATTTATACTCACTTAAATATTGTCCACTTGAATATTACTTCACTCTCCAAAGAGACAGAGACAGAGAGATGAGGGCATGCTAGAGCTTTAGAGGCACCGAGGTAAAGGTTGGATGAGGAAGGACAAAACAGGTGCATTGGTGAGCAAAGTGACAGAGATTCATTCCAGATTCACTAACAAGCATGTGTTGACACTTCTTTGTGAGGGACATTTTGCCAAGTGCCAGGGACATGCTGGAGAACAAGATGGGCATTGCTCCTGATCTCCAGAAGCTCATAGCCTAGAGGGGGAGACAGAGGATTACACATCTCCATGATACAGTGAGAAATGCTGTGACAGAGAACAGAGAGAAAGAAACACAGATTGAGATTTTACTGGGAGAGGGAGACTGCATGATGAATGGCACAGGAGTGAGAGAGCAGTAGGAGGCAAAGCATTTTAGAGATCTGGAGACTTGGCTTCTATTCTGATTCTGCCCCCTACTTATAGTATGCTCTGAGCAAGTAATTTCACTGCTGGGCTTAGTTCAGAGAGGTCTTGTAATTAACATTCACTTGACATCTACAACAGTTTCTGAATAAGTTGGTATGTGTGATGAGAAAAGAGCTTAATTTGGAGGCTAAGCAAAGTGAGCCAAGGAAGAGAGAGTTGCAGCTCTGAGTCCTTTCCTCCTCTTCTCCCCCCCCTCCCCCACCCTCTGCCCTCTTTCCTTTTAAGCTCTAGTCTCCCTGAAACTCAGGCCATGGGTGTGGGTGACCAGGACAATTTCATTTCATTCAATTCAATTTTGCCTGGGTCTGCTTAGTTGTGATATAGAGACCCAAAGATGAGTCAATCTCCCAATAGTCAATGACTCAAATGTATGGAGTCAGCCCTCTGTCTAGCCCAGAACTCTAGTGTCCCTGCTGTGAGTTCCTGCAGCACTTTTTGTGTTCCTCAACCTCCACTCCTCATCACACTGTGTGCAATTATCTGTGTATATATCTGGGTGTTCCTTCCTCTTGCATGTTCATCTGTGTCCAATGCCTTGCATGCAGATGTTTATTGAGGGAGAATGAAGGTTTGGAGATCATTAAAATACAAGGCAGAAAGAAAAAAAAAAAAAAAAAAAAAAAAAAAGGTCCTAATAGATGTGTAAGGAACATACATAGTCAGAGGAAGGGGAAATTAACTCCAAAGGAGATAGATGTCCAGAAAAGCCTTACAGGAAAGTGGGCACTAGATCTCAGTCTTCAGGGCATAGGTAAATAGGAATTTACCAGATACAGAAAACATGTGTGAGGGAGGTGGGGGTTTGTGAAAGAACTTTCCAGACTGAGAAACCAACATAAGCAAGGGAGGGAGTCATAAGTGCATAGGATGCCTTCAAGAAACTGAGTCATCTAGTAGCTTAAGTGGGTGCACTGCAGAGAGGGGGTGGGAAGAGAATGAAGGCAGTTCTCAGAGAACCTGCACTTGCTAAAGGTTGCAGACAGTAGAGAGTAGGGGAAGGTGTTTTTTGGGGTTATTTTTAAGACAATAAGGACCTCGCCTGACCTGTCAAATACTACAGGGAGGTCAAGTAGAATAGGCTGAGAAGAGACCTTTGGATTTAGCAGCTAAAGCTTAGTGACCTTGGGAAGAATTGTCCAAAACAGTGATGGCAGGACAGATAGGGCACTGGATTGTAACGGACTGAGAAATGAACAGGAAGGTGAATGTAATCCTTTCAAGAAGTCTGGCTGCAAAACGATTTGGAGTAAAGCTTAAGAAAAGATAGGCTTTCTTAAGGAAGAGTAGAGTTAAACCAATTTAAGCCTTGAGGGGTTAGAAGGGTAAAGGATTCAAGTTCATCATTTGCTGAGTTGGGGTGCTCTTGGGAAGCAGGGGATCTGGCTGGATAGTGGGGATTGGGATGAGTGGGATTGGAGCCGGGGGCAAAGACCCCTTATTGTCACCTCTCTCTTTTCCTGCCCAGAACTGGAGCTCGCCATTAGGGTCACCCTCTATGCAGTGATCTTTCTGATGAGCGTTGGAGGAAATGTGCTCATCATTGTGATCCTGGGACTGAGCCGCCGCTTGAGGACCGTCACCAACACCTTCCTGCTCTCCCTGGCCGTCAGCGACCTTCTCCTGGCTGTGGCCTGCATGCCCTTCACCCTCCTGCCCAATCTCATGGGCACATTCATCTTCGGCACAGTAGTCTGCAAGGCGGTGGCCTACCTCATGGGTAGGTGAGACAACCACCCTGCCCACCTTGCCCTCTCCTCTTCTACAGTCCTTGCCCCATGTTTGCATGTTTCCCTGAGACGTTTGAAGTCACAGTGGTGATCGTGTAGTTCAGGTTTCCTAGGTGACCTCTTCCTTCTTCCTTCCTTCCTTGCTTAGGCGTGTCAGTAAGTGTGTCCACGTTAAGCCTGGTGGCCATCGCCTTGGAGAGGTACAGCGCCATCTGCCGACCGCTGCAGGCTCGCGTGTGGCAGACACGCTCCCACGCTGCTCGTGTGATCGTAGCCACGTGGATGCTGGCGGGGCTGCTCATGGTGCCCTACCCCATATACACCGTCGTGCAGCCGGCGGGGCCCCGAGTGCTGCAGTGCGTGCATCGCTGGCCCAGTGCGAGGGTTCGCCAAACCTGGTGAGGGCGCCTATCCCTGGGGATCCCTTCTCCATCTCCATCAGATGCTTAGGACCATCCCCCCGGAACCTTCCCCAGGAGCTGCTCCAAGAATTACTACTCCGATTCCCTTTGGGCACCCACCACCCTGGGATTCCCATTTGGGGCCTCTCCGCAGTTCTCTAGGCCTTCCCAGCAGCACCCCCAAAGCCTAGAAACATCAGTCCTCCGCTCATTCTGCATCCGCGGTTATGGCTGGACAGAGACCCATGTGACTGGTCTGTGCTCTGCTTCCAGGTCGGTACTGCTGCTCCTGCTTTTGTTCTTCATCCCGGGTGTGGTTATGGCCGTGGCCTACGGGCTTATTTCCCGCGAACTCTACTTAGGGCTTCGCTTTGATGGCGACAATGACAATGAGAGCCAGAGCCGAGTCCGAAGCCCAGGAGGGTTGCCGGCTGGGGCGGGACCAGGTGAGTGAAATCCATAAGGGGGGCGGGCTTTGGAAAGTGAAGAAGGGGTGAGGGGTGTCTATGGAAAGGCTGGAAATGTGGGGTCAGATAGGGGTTGTTCTGGAGTTGAGAGGACTTGCTTTCTGCTCTGATCACCTGTTGTGGAGCCAAGACAAGAGAATGACCACTGGAGCCCAGACAAAATTAAAATTTAGGGAGCCTTTATTAGCCGGCCTGGTGAGTGACTAGCTGGGCAACTGCTCTGCCATTCTCCACGCAGAGAATCCGGAGAGCAGCAGTGACCCTTTGTGCAGGACCACTTTTAAGCACATTAACCACACCCTGTTCTTGCAGAGCAAGCAACCCAAGACAAAACCGTTTTTCCCAAGCAACGTCAGGATCATGCCATCGACAATTGTGTTATCCACAGGGTTATCCTGTTCTTCAAAAAGCTGACCATGTTCCTTGAAACAAGGCCCACATGCTGGGAAGGGGCCATGAGACCCTATCTCAAGGCCTGTCCTGGTGTCAGCACTGACAGCTCTATCTGGGGCATGGTCCACGGCCTCTCTGGAAGCATGCTCAAAAATTCCCACTCTCTAGACCACATGTGTCAAACACAAGGCCCGCGGGCCAAATCCGTCCCGCCAGGCCTTGCAATGTGGCCCGCACCGCGCTGTCATCACTGCACTCCGCTGCGTTTCCATCACAATGACAGTTTATGACTGTTCAGTAAACCATTCAGCCCGCGATTTAGGCTGGATTTTAGATTTTGGCCCCTTCTCTGATTGAGTTCGACACCCCTACTCTAGACAGTAAAGCAACAAACAGACTGTCAAATTACAGCGGGGAGGAGACAGAGATATGGGGGAGATAAGAGATCAACCGAAGGACTTGTATGCATGCATATAAGCAAAACCAATGGATGAAAAACTCGGGGGGGGGGGGGGAAGGGAGGCGCGGAGAAGCATGTATGAGAGTGGGGGAGGGGGAGCAATGGAAAGATATGTACACATATAATACCTTAATAAAATAAATTTAAAAATAAAAATAAATAGCCGAAACCTGTTTGGCTCAATGGTAGAGCATCGGTCTGCATACTGAAAGGTCCCAGGTTCGATTCCGGTCAAGGGCATGTACCTTGGTTGCGGGCACATCTCCAGTAGAAGGTGTGCAAGAGACAGCTGATCGATGTTTCTCTCTCATCAATGTTTCTAACTCTCTATCCCTCTCTCTTCCTCTCTGTAAAAAATCAATAAAATATTTTTAAAAATAATAAAAATTAAAATTAAAAAATTCCCACTCTCTAACAGCGCCCACTGTCTGTGCCTAGGTGCTGCCCTACAGAACGGGCGCTGCCGGCTGGAGACCCGGCTGGCGGGCGAGGACGGCGACGGCTGCTACGTGCAGCTCCCGCGCTCCCGGCCTGCGATGGAGCTGTCCGCGCTGACGGCGCCCACTCCCCCCGGGCCAGCGTCCTGCCACCGGCCCACCCAGGCCAAGCTGCTGGCCAAGAAGCGCGTAGTGCGGATGCTGCTGGTGATCGTCGTGCTTTTCTTCCTGTGCTGGCTGCCCGTGTACAGCGCCAACACGTGGAAGGCCTTCGATGGCCCCGGGGCGCGCCGGGCCCTGTCGGGTGCGCCCATCTCCTTCATCCACCTGCTGAGCTACGTCTCGGCCTGTGTCAACCCCCTGGTCTACTGCTTCATGCACCGCCGCTTCCGCCAGGCCTGCCTGGACACGTGTGCCCGGTGCTGCCCGCGGCCTCCGCGAGCTCGCCCCAGGCCTCTCCCGGACGAGGACCCTCCCACCCCCTCCATCGCGTCCCTGTCCAGGCTGAGCTACACCACCGTCAGCACGCTGGGGCCTGGCTGAGGGGTGGGGGCCGAGCGGGGGGCTAAGGCAAGACAGGCCGATTTTTTCGAGCATTGACCCATTCAGACACACAGGAGACACAGACCACCCCTCGCAGAAGACCGACAGCCAACCGCATGGACTTACCCCCAATGCACAGGGAAGGGTGGCTTATGGACGCAAAGTAAACAGAGCAGACCCACACACAGGAAATGAGGCACACATGGCTGTGGCATGGAAACGTGGCCCTGATCTTGGACAGACTCAGACGCAGCATCCTTAGCGGAGGACTATCCCCCAACAGCAGGACCTCTATGACAGGGAAGGCCTCTGTCTCTCTCTCACTCACACACACACACACACACACACACACAGCGTAACGGCACTGATTCATTTAGAGATCTGGGCTGACTCCTGAGATGCCCCAGGCTGCCCCCAGCTCGACCCCACGGTGCCCTGCCCCAAGTAGCATTGGGTTCACCAACCCCCTCTCACAGCTCCCTAACAGGCTGTTTTGCACTGAGAAGTCCCTTTGTTCTTTTCCAATTAAATATTATGTCCCTGCCCTCGCTTCCCGCAGCCGACCTCGTCAATACATAATAAACGCCTTGGCTTCCTCCTAAACTTCCTCTCTGGACTCTTCCTGGGCCAGTGAGGAGGCATGGGGTTTTGTGATCTTCCCTGTCAGGTCACCCACAGCTGGACCCGCCCCCCTGCCAAAAAGCCCGTGGTCTGAGGCTGGAGGAGGCTGTGTGTTGTCTCTGAGTTGTCATCCTGGACCCACCCACACACCCATGCCATAGGTGGAAGCTGGAAACGGGGGTGAGGGCGGGAGGTAGGATATCCATGACACATCATGAGTCCTAAAGTGGCATCCCTGTTAAGGTACTATAATAATAAATACTTATTAAACATTTCGTGAAAAGCTAAAGGAAGGAAGCACTGTATAATGAGACTCAGTTTATTCAATACGTGTCTGAAACACCAGGGGTCAGACCATGACAGGTGAACAGACACTAATTAAACAGTAGAGCCTTGTCCACGCGCTCTTCTCTGGCAGCAGTACCTGGCCACGCTTCTGCTCCACAGCAGCACCCTTTCCCGTCAGCAGCAACAAATGGGGGTGGAGAGGGCTGGCCCTGAATAGAAGCCGCAGAGCCCAGCCTCCCTTTTGACACAAGCCATCCAGCCCTGGCCAGTGTGGCTCAGTTGGTTGGGCATCCTCCAAGGTTCCTTGTTTGATTCCCGGTTGGGGCACATGCCCAGGTTTGGGGCTTCATCCCCAGCAGGAGATGTGCAAGACACAGCCAACCAATGTTTCCCTCTCACATTGATGTTTCTCTCTCTCTCTCCCTCTCCCTTCCTTTCTCTCTAAAAATGAAAAAAAAAAAAATTTGAACTGATACAGCCCCAGAGAGATGGAGACAGCAACATCACCCCCTACACACACACACAGAATGACAAAACAGAGAGGGAAGAACTGAAGAGCTCATTAAGGAGACACACATGGATAATCACGTATGGTGTGGTATGTTGGGAGAGGGCTTCCTTGACATTTCATCTTATAACAGATAGGCGAACAGAGACCCAGAGAAGAAAGGAAAATTGCTCAAGGTCATACTATACATAGGAGCCAGACAGAAATAACCCTCTTGAGGCAGACACTGAGCTGGAGATGGGAAAGAAGCCATCCCCATCAGGGAGCAGACCCAAGTTCTGTGATGCCTGGTACTTATAAAATTGGAAGCCCCTTTTTCAAGAAAAAGAATACAAAAAATACAGATACAAAATTGCTCCTCACCAGGGCCTTGGAAGGGGCCTGTGTGGGTGAGGAGCCCTGAGATTTAAGCCTCATTAGCTTCACAGCTAATAATGCCTCTGCCCACCAACTGCACTGAACAAAGGCTGGGCGGAGTGAGGGACAGTGAGAAAGGAAAGTGGGTTTTCTGTTTAGCAGTGCTGAGGAGGCTCCCAGCCATCCTTCTTTTACAAGCTCTAGGCTGCAAGAGGCAGGACTAAGGAGAAACGGAGGGAGAAGGCGTTTCAAGCTGTCAAACTCAGTGCTGGTTAAAAATAGAATCCCAGCTGGTCTGAGGAGCTGAAGGCAAGATATTGGGCCTTTATCTCTCATGCCAATTTCTCCTGGATGGGAGTGGAGAAAGATGCAGGGTTTGCCATAGGGGTCACAGCCCTCATACCCTCCCACCTCCATCTTTGCCATCCCCCTTCTGAGAGAAATGCAGCCTTGACGAGGATCAGCCCCTTCAGCTGGTGTGGGGGCTCCTGTTGACCACCAGACGGCAGTGGGGAGCCCAAGAGGAAGAGCTGTGGAAAGGGCTGGCCTAGACCCAGCACACTATGCAGCCCTGTAGTCTACTGATTACTTATATATTCACTCTGTGCTCTCTCTAGTTACTAAAAGTGGAATCCTGGAAGCCTTCCCATCTTTTGAAATGTGACAAAATATTCCAGGTCAGGATTTAATATGGATGCCTCCATAAAGTCCTGCTTGGCCTTCCTATTAACAAAGCTCATGTGCTCATACAGTTCTGACTACCTTCTCTCTTCTATCAAAGTTATTCGTGTCCCTGCCTGATTTCCCATTGTGCAGTGGGAGAAGCCTGAAGTCACAGGAAGATGACTGAGCCTAGATCTAGATCACATGTGTCAAACACAAGGCCCACGGGCCAAATCCGTCCCGCCAGGCCTTGCAATGTGGCCCGCACTGCGCTGTCATCACTGCACTCCGCTGCGTTTCCATCACAATGACAGTTTATGACTGTTCAGTAAACCATTCGGCCCGCGATTTAGGCTGGATTTTAGATTTTGGCCCCTTCTCTGATTGAGTTCGACACCCCTAATCTAGATGGTGAGGTGAAGGAAGGCTTGGGGATGAAATATGCTTCTCAGGGCTATATGACAGGTGTTTTGTACACACAGTTTATCTTATTCTCAGAGCTCTTCAGAAGAACATTTCTCTTCATTTGACAGAAAAGGAACGTGAAGCTGAGAAATTTAGGTCCTGCCGAAACCAATTTGGCTAAGTGGATAGAGCATCGGTCTGCGGACTGAGGGGTCCTGGGTTTGATTACAGTCAAGGGCATGTACATTGATTGCAGGCACATCCTCAGTGGGGGGGAGGGAGGGGAAGGATGCAGGAGGCAGCTGGTCGATGTTTCTCTCTCATTGATGTTTCTAGCTCTCTCTATCTCTCTCTTCCTCTCTGTAAAAAATCAATAAAATATATTTTTTAAAAGAAAAAAAGAAAGAAAGAAATTTAGGTCCTGCAGCTAGGATGGAAGCAAGAACTAAGCCCGGGTATCTGCCTCCAAAGCTTTTTCTCTTTCCATTCTGCTGTATTGCCTTCCTTCAAGCCGTGAAGACCTGGGCAGGATCCAGTAGTCCTGTCTTTTAAAAGTTGTGTGATTAAACAAGAGAGAGGTCGCAAATAAATAAAATCCGAAATGAAAGTGGAGGATTAACCACTGACACCACAGAAATACAAAGGATTGTAAGAAAATACTATGAGCAACTATATGTCAACAAGCTGGACAACGTGGATAAAATAGACAAATTCCTAGAAAAATACAATCTCCCAAAACTGAATCTGGAAGAATAAAAAAAAACTCTGAATATGCCAATAACAACTGATGAAATAGAAGCAGTAATAATAAAACAAAGACAACAACAAAAAACTCCCACCAAACAAAAGCTCAGGTCCTAATGGCTTCATAGGGGAAGTTTTACCAAACATTCAAAGAATGCCGAAACCAGTTTAGCTCAGTGGATAGAGCGTTGGCCTGCGGACTGAAAGGTCCCAGGTTCGATGCTGGTCAAGGGCATGTACCTTGGTTGAGGGCACATCCCCAGTAGAGGGTGTGCAAGAGGCAGCTGATCGATGATTCTCTCTCATCGATGTTTCTAACTCTCTATCCCTCTCTCTTACTCTCTGTAAAAAAAAATCAACAAAGAAGAACTAACACTATATTCCTCAAACTATCAATATTTCAGAAAATTCAAGAGGAAGTTACACTTCTAAATTCTTTTTATAATGCCAGCATTATCCTAATTCCAAAACCAGATAAAGACACTACAAAGAAAGAGAATTATAGGCCAATATCCCTGATGAACATAGATGCTAAAATCCTTAACAAAATATTAGCAAATCACATCCAGCAATATATTAAAAAGATCACACACCATGATCAAGTGGGATTTATTCCAGGGATGCATGGCTGGTACAATAGTCACAAATCAATAAACGTGATACATCACATAAACAAATTGAAAGACAAAAATCACATGAACATATCGATACATGCAGAAAAAGCATTTGACAAATTTCAACACCCATTTTTGATAAAAACTCTGCAAAGTGGGACTAGAGGGAGCACATCTCAACATGATAAAGGCCATATATGACAAACCTATAGCCAACATCATACTTAATGGGCAAAAACTAAAACCATTTCCCCTAAGAATGGGAGCAAGAGAGGGATGTCACTTTCACCACTCCTGCTCGACGTAGTACTATAAGTGCAAGCCATAACAATCAGACAAGAAGAAATAAAAGGCATCCAAATTGGTATTCACTCTTGTCCTGTCCCTGGCATAGAGCTCCTAAATCCTTGGAATTTTCTGTGTGAAGAGCCACAAAAGTGTCTTTTATTTGTTAATGACATGTCCTTTGGAAAGCCTTTAGGTCACCTAAGAATGGCAACTAGTCAGTAAGGAAACCAACCAGTGATTAGTGGGTTAGGACTTTTAATCTCTCTCTTGGGGGGGGGGGGGGGGGAGAGAGAAGCTGGAGATGGGAGTTCAAGCACTATGACAAATGACTTAACCAAGCATTCCTGTGTAATGAAGCTTCCCTAAAAATCCTAAAGGACAGAGTGGGAGAGCTTCCTGGTAGGTGAACACATGCAGATTTGGGAAAGAGGGCATGGAAGCTCCCTACCCCTTTCACCATACTTTGCACTATGCAACTCCACAAGAGTAAGTTTCTTGGCTAAGTCTCAGAAACTCTGGCTAATATGGAGGCAAACAGGCTGGCAGAGGAGGGCAGTTAGGGGCAAACAGGGTGGCAGGGGAGCAATTAGGCATCAATCAGACTGGCAGGGAAATGGTTAGGGGGTTATCAGGCTGGCAGGCAAAAGTGGTTAGAGGCAATCAAGAAGGCAGACAGGTGAGCAGTTGGGAGCCAGCAGTCCTGGATTGTGAGAGGGATGTCCGACTGCCCATTTAGGCCAGATCCTACCGGGGTCCCAGACTAGAGAGGGTGCAGGCTGGGCTGAGGGACACCCCCCGCTCCCCATGCACAAATTCTGTGCACTGGGCCTCTAGTAGTATAATAACTATGTTTGGTATTAGATGAGTACTAGATTTACCAGGGTGATCACTTCATAAGCTATATAAATGTCTAAACACTATGTTGTACATCTGAAACTACTTAATATTGTGACATCTGTAGTTGTAAAAAAATCAAAACAATCCCTTTAAAGTCGGTTAAGGCATCAGGGCAATGCTCAGTGTGTTGCCAGAGTGGTAACACGAGATGGAGACACATTATCCATTTTGGCCAAGGACAAATGAGGAAATCCCAGTCCCTAACATCCTCTCACTTT